TTTTAGAGTTAAAATTGGGTTTTGTCATAGTCATAGAAAATGTTCAAAACATCGAGGGCTATAAGTTCAAGCTTTGAAACATTGAAAAATCTCGCTCTAGTGTTCTTATTTTCGCGTTCAAAGTAACCGGAAATTTTTCCTCTACCCGGAAATAAGCAAACTTAAATCAAGCATAATCATACCACATTAAACTAACCTCATAACTCACAAAACCAATATAAAACTCACACACCCTTATTACAACACATCTTCCTCAAGAACCACAAATTTACATCCATAAATCCAAGCTTAAAGTTGGCTAGAAATTAATGGAGAAGAGTTTGAGAACTTACCCTTGAAGAACTCTCTCTCTCCCTTGAAAACCTTTGAACTCCTCTAAGATTTGTTAATGGCTTGGAACTAGAAAGTATAAGGAAATTTAAGAGGAATATTTCTACATTTCAAACTTTACTAAAACATGAAAAAAGAGGGGATTTAGAGTTTCTTTACCCTTGGAGGAAATGCTTGTCTAGACTCCTCCTAGACCCTTTGATCTCTTTCTTCTTCTTCTATGGTTTGCTAGTGGCTCAAGATTGGAAGAGTGGAGGAAATATTTGAGAGGAAATGTTGTAGGGTGGCCGGATTTTTGAGTGGGGAAAAAGCTAGGAGAAAAAAATGAAGCTTATCCTATGTTGGTTCCTTTTATAGGCAACTTGGAAATTATTTTTTTAACACCAATTCCACTCCATCATTCAACCAAATTTTTGGTTCAAATCCCCTTTTCTTGGCCGGTTTTGGAAGGAGAAAAGAAGAAGCAATTTTGCCATTAATTCCCCTTCAACCACTAACATCAGATCACCTTAACATAAAGTCCTCTAGCACACTCCACTAGCCAAATGTTTGGCTCTATTTTTTTCATGCATGGCCGGCCAAGTGGAGAAAGAGAGAGAAAAAATCTCACCTACCCCATTGTACTCTTGTCCACTTTCTTAAGTTTCCCTTTGAAACTGATAAAAACTATACTGACTATAAGAAGGTAACTTAGCTTACAGGAATTCATTTCCATTTCTGACGGTTCCTTTTTCTACTACTTATTTACAGTTAAATGTTAAATCCTTGACTGCTTTGGATATCACATTAAATTCTTATTCGCGTAATATCTTGAACTGTTTCTAGTCTTGAAATTAATTCTAAACTGAACAAATTCTAAATTTAACTTTCCTGCGTTAATTCCCGGAAATCACGTTGTTTCTGACGGTGTCAACTCCCGAGTTCACATTGTACCTTTCTACTATGGGTATTTATATTCTGACTTTAACCTAGTTGTCTGGCAATAAGGATTTTCTCTTCTTTTAAAATGTCAGTGCGTTTTTTTTTTGTACGCTGCTAACATCATGCTGTGTTTAGAGATTCTTGAAATTAAGATTCTTAAAACTATACTTGTACTGAAAATTATTCCTCCTTAAAGTACGGCGAGAATTTATCGATCGAATTTACTTGATCGAAAACATGAACTTAACATGAAATCTGCTACAGAATTCAGGAATACATATATTAATTCCATAAATCCTTCAGTCACATAATATTTGTCTAAGAAAATCCTTGGCTTAAATACATAAATTGTATTATTTAAGGTCTGGGATTTTCTCAGTCATTACACTAACTCTTAGGCCATTGAAATTTAAACTCAAAGGGAGTCTCTTAAATTAATGCGGGTGTTGGACCCACATCAAACCTTCAAAATTCTACGGACCTATCGTATTGGACTCGTAGGTGCCCGTCGGGATAATTCGCTCGATAAACCACTATGTTCTTTAAAAGGAATCATTTTCTTGAAAACTTTCCTTACGAATATTTCCGTTAACATGAGGTTTAATGCCATTTTGTTTTACTGAAATCACGTCTCGGGTTCTTTGATAACTTTTTGTCAAAACAAACACTATGTTAGTTTTGTTTCGTTAAAACTGTACAGTTTCTGAAATCTACGTTTTACTGCATCTTAATGTCAGATTTCAAAAATATGTTCTTCGTAATAATTCTTCGTCTCATCGAGATATAAAATTATTGTTTTTGGTGAAAGTGAAATTCAGCCTCTAAAGGCCTCGTTTGGCTGAAAACAGTGGCTGCTTTTTTTTTTTGTTGTAAGAAATGCTGCAGCAATCTTTTAAAATGCTGCTGATGTTATAGTAATGCTGTAGCAAAACTTTTCTTTTTAAAATTGTGTCGGACAGCTTATCCATTTTTTACAAAATGGCTACAAACTTGCTTTTATAGTTAAAATTAGGTTTTGTCATAGTAACCGAAAATGTTCAAAACATCAAGGACTATAAGTTCAAGCTTTGAAACATCAAAAAAATCTCGTTCTAGAGTCCTCGTTTTCGCGTTCAAAGTAACCGGAAAATTTTTCCTCTAACCCAAAATAAGCAACTTAAACCGAACATAATCATACCACATATTGCTAATCATACTAACCTCAACACTCACAAAACCAACATAAAACTCACACACCCTTATTACAACACATCTTCCTCAAGAACCACAAATTTACATCCACAAATCCAAGCTTAAAGTTGGCTAGAAATTAATGGAGAAGAGTTTGAGAACTTACCCTTGAAGAACTCTCTCTCTCTCTTGAAAACCTTTGAACTCCTCTAAGATTTGTTAATGACTTGGAACTAGAAAATATAGGGAAATTTAAGAGGAATATTTCTACATTTCAAACTTTACTAAAACATAAAAAAAGAGGGGATTTAGAGTTTCTTTACCCTTGGAGAAATGCTTGTCTAGACTCCTCCTAGATCCTTTGATCTCCTTCTTCTTCTTCTATGGTTTGATAGTGGCTCAAGATTAAGAGAGTGGGAGAAAATATTTGAGAGAGAATGGAGGAGTGTGGTATGGCCGGATTTTGAGGAGGACCTTCAACCACTACCATCACATCACCTTAACATGTAACCTTCTAACATACTCAACTAGCCAAATTTTGGCTCTATTTCTATTATACATGGCCGGCCAAGTGGAGAATGGGAGAGAGAAAAATAAATCCTACCCCTTGTACTTTTGTCCGCTCTCATAAGTTTCTCTTGAAACTGCTAAAAATTATACTAACTGTAGGTAAGTAACTTAGCCGACAGGAAATTCTAGTTTCTAACAGTTCCTTTTCTACTGCTTATTTACAGTTTAATATTAATTCCCGACTACTTTGAGATCACGTTAAATTCTCACTCGCGTAATATCTTGAACTGTTTCAAGTCTTGAAATTAATTCTAGACTGAACAAATTCTAAATTTAACTTTTCTGCATTAAATCCCGAGAATGACGTTGTTTCTGACGGTGTCACTCTCGAGCTCACATTGTACCCTTCTACTATGGGTATTTATCTTGTGACTTTAACCTAGCTGTCTGGCAATTAAGGATTTTATCTTCTTTTAAAATATCAGTGCGTTTTTTTTACGCTGCTAACGTCGTGCTGTGCTTGGAGATTCTTGAAATTAAGATTCTCAAACTATACTTGTACTGAAAATTATTCCGCCTTAAAGTACGACGAGAATTTATCGATCGAATTTACTTGATCGAAAACATGAACTTAACATGAAATTTGCTACAGAATTTAGGAATATAGATATTAATTCCTTAAATCCTTCAGTCACATAATATTTTTCTAAGAAATTTCTTAGCTTAAATACATAAATTGTATTATTTAAGGTCTGAAATTTTCTCAGTCATTACATAAATACATAAATAAATAAATTGTATTATTTAAAGTCTGAAATTTTCTCAGTTATTACGGCTTGAACTCCTCATTTAGACTTTTACGAACTATTTTTCTACTTTAAGAGAGATTGTAATTTTGAAAATATTAGTATATCTACAAGTGGATGTAGGTAAAGAGTTTTCTATCGAACCACTATAAACTTTGTCGTTTTAATTTTTTTGCTATTACTTTCTGATTAATTTTGTGTGAATTCACACGCGAGTGTCCTCGGAGAGGTCAAATTCTAAGTTGACGATTTTTCACCATCAACAAAAGGATTAATGACTTTTCATGATCATTTTTGTTTTATGGATCGAATGCAAAGGAGACCCAAACGTAATATGAGTGTTCCCATGCACAAATTTAATTGTTAAAAAACTCATTCAGCGATTACAAACAATAATTTTTACTGGCGAAGTAAAAATTCATGTCTTAATATAAAAATTCTAGTTTTGATTAATTTCTTTTTTTCTTAGAACTCCGTAATTGTTTCCATTGTGAAATTGGTGGACACTATATTACATATCTTTCATTAATAAATTGGCTAAGCATTCATACAATTCTCCAATTTACAATCTCTACAGCTTACCCATGAGCGAACTCATTATTCCCAATTAGAAGAATCTTCCTCTTTTGAACCTTTTTTTTCCGCAAAAAAAAAAAAAAAAAAAAAAAAAAAAAAAAAAAAAAAGAAGAAAAGAAAAAGGACGACAAATGACTTGAAATTACGATTAGGACTATACTTACCAACTCCATTAAGAAATATTGGCAGGCCACTACAAGTCAGATGCAACCAAAGGCGTTGATCGTTGACTTAATGACTTTTCATCACACTATGATAGTAACAGCAAGAAACAAAAAGAAATAATTAGTATTTGACCCATTCAGCACACATTAGAGACGCGGCTACTAATGATAATTAAAGAAATTAAGATCGAATTGCAATTTCCAAGCGTCAAGCTCTCACTGAATTACCTACTCTTCTTTTTGTTTGTATCGTTTAATTACATTTTCCAAATCTGATATATTCCCTCATCTCCGAGAAAATAGCCATAAACCAAAACCACGAGTCTTTCTTTTTTTCATCTTCGTTGTGATCATATTCTTCCCCATATATCATATATGGTTTCAACAATGAGTTGGTCGCTTCCTCGGATTGCTTTTTTCATGACGCTTTTGTTTTATGGATCCGGTGCAGGAGAACAACAGATCAGGTGCATAGAAGTGGAGAGACAAGCACTCCTCAAGATCAAACAAGATCTTCATGAAATCAAGGAAGGCTTTCTTTCATCTTGGGGAAATGAAGAAGAAAAGAGAGACTGCTGCGAATGGTACGGAGTTCAGTGTTCCAACAACTCTGATCATGTCATTGCTCTTGATCTCTCCCCTTCATCGCCAGTTGATCCTTATGATCCATTTCAGCTGCAAGGTAATATAAGTCCTTCACTGCGTGAGTTGAAGCATCTGACTTATTTAGACCTCAGTGTGATTAACTTTACGGGGCATGGCATCCCCAGTTTTATTAGCACTTTCAGCAAATTAAGATACCTCAATCTCTCTTATACTTTTGTGAGTGGAGAAATTCCTCCTAAGCTTGCAAATCTTTCCAACTTGGAGGTTCTTGATCTTGGCTATAATTCTCGTTTAAGAACAAGAAACGTGGAGTGGGTTTTTCGTCTTTCTTCTTTAAGACACCTCGACCTTTCTGATTCGTACATGAGCCAAGCTACCTACTGGATGCAAGTAGTTAATAAGCTCCCTTACCTAACAAACTTGCAGCTAAGTTGGTGCGATCTTCCAAATGTCACATCTTCATCTCTTTCCCGTGTTAACTCTTCGACGTCACTTTCCGTCCTTGATCTTTCCGGAAACAGGCTCTCTGTTTCTATATTCCCATGGCTATTTTCCTTTGGCCGAGGTCTAGTTCATCTTGATCTCAGGAATAACGCGCTCAAAGGTCCTATTCCAAAAGCTCTTTTGAATGTGAGCACCCTTGAATTCCTTGATCTCTGTCAGAATGAGGTACATGGTTCCATCCCAGAAGCCTTAAGGGAACTTGACTGCCCTTACACACCTTGTTCTCGGTGCGAATGAGTTAGAAGGTTCCATCCCAGAAGCCTTAGGGAACTTGACTTCCCTTGCATACCTATATCTTGACAGTAATCACTTTGAAGGAGAATTTCCAAAATCCGTATGGGGTTTATGCATGTTGCGTGAGTTATATGCAGGTGGAAATTATCTCAGTAAACTGAATCTTCCTGAGAATATTCAATCGTTCTCTAGGTGCACATGTTACTCTCTAGAGCTTTTGGATATTCGTCGGAGCCGGATTATGGGGGCATTCCCTAATCTGAGTTTGTTTTCATCTTTGAAAACACTACTACTTTCCTCTAACCAACTTAATGGAACTGTACCTGAAGCTATTGGACAATTATCACAGTTAGAATATTTGGATATCTCTGGAAACTCTTTAAAAGGTGTGATTTCGGAAGCTCACTTTTCAAAATTGTCAAGTTTGAGTTTATCTGGTAAGTCAATGATTTTGAACATAAGTTCTGATTGGAATCCTCCCTTTCAGTTGGATTATATATATCTTGACCCTTGCCAGGTGGGCCCTAGGTTCCCAAAATGGCTTCAAACTCAAAAGAACTATTCGTATTTGAAGATTTCAAATGCTGGAATTTCAGATTCTATTCCAGATTGGTTTTGGGATCACTCTAGTGAAGTTTTTTCAATTGATCTTTCTCAGAACCAAATTCATGGAACAATTCCGAATTCTTCAATTGAGTTCATGGGTTATCCTGAGATAGATCTTAGCTCAAATAAGTTGGAAGGTTCAATACCTGTTTTCATTTTCAAAGCGGGCGCCATAGATCTTTCAAGAAATAGCTTTTCGAAGCTAGACTCCATTTTTCAAGTCAGTAAGGATTCACGGTTGACTTATCTTGATATTTCATACAACAAGTTGTCTAGAGATCTTCCTGATTATTGGTCGAATTTCAAAGAATTAAGCATACTTGTATTGGCCAATAATAAGTTATCTGGGAAAATTCCAGCCTCCATTGGCTCCTTAACTGGGATTGCAACACTGAATTTAGGCAACAATTATTTCTCTCAAGAATTACCTTCCTTGAAGAGCTGCAAAAATTTGGAGGCTATTAATGTGGCAGAAAACAGATTATTTGGACCAATACCTACATGGATAGGTGAAAGTCTGTCAAGTCTTGTTATTATTAGCCTACGATCCAATAACTTCTCTGGAAGCATTCCCTCACATCTATGTCATCTTTCAAATCTTCAACTGTTGGACCTATCTTCAAACGACCTTTCAGGAAGTTTACCAAAATGTCTCAACAATTTTACTGCAATTAAAACAGAGGGAGTGAGTCACTCTACATCCATTTCCCACGATTATTCATATGGTTATTCACATGGTGGTTCATATGGTGAATTGTATGATGACCAACTGCAATTGGTATGGAAAGGAACGCTATCGACCTTCAGAAATACTCTGGCACTAGTAAAGAGCATTGATCTGTCAAACAATAAGCTTAATGGGGAAATTCCAACAGAAATCACCGAGCTTATTGAGCTGGTCTTTCTGAATCTATCAAGAAACCACTTAAGTGGACAAATTCCGTCAGAGATTGGTGATTTGAATTTGCTAGATTCTCTTGATCTATCAAACTGTCACGCCCCTAAACCGGGGTTGGTGACGTGGAGGCTCGTTTAGAAACTTAAACCTGTTTGAGAGAGAGTGATTAGCAAAATAATTTAATTTCTTTCAAATCCAAAACGTCCAGATATTTCCAAACGAGCCCCTTTTTATTCAGGAGAAATTCAATTTCAAGAACGGTGGTGGAATTTCCAACCAAATCAGTTTAAAACCACATCACTGGTATCATGTCAGGAATTCCCACAGGTGTTTAGCATACATGAACATAAACAAGAGTAAATATGACATTAATCACAGTCTAGTAATATTTAAGTTTACAATCCACAATCTTTTATACATGCCTTGAAATAAAAGATAAAAGGAAAGATAACTCTTCACTTTCTGAGGTCAAGTCCACGTCACCGGTAGTAGCTGCCTACTCCGTACTACTCCTCGCGTCTCCTGGAGGGGTTTAATACATTTAAAAACAAGAAAAGGTGAGCGAAAGGCCCAGTAGGATAGAATTTTATAAAGCATTTAAAATAAAGGTACTCACGGTCCGAAGATATACACCCGGAACCGATCATCCTTTTTTTTGAAAAAAAAAAAAGAGAAATACTCACATAATAGAATATGTCTGTATAATGAAAGTTTGCAGCTCATCATACCACTAAACAAGAAGCGGTAAAAATGTCTGTCTATGAAAAGTGCAGAGCCATAATTCCACTAAACAAGAAGCGGATCCGTACAGGTTTCGGGACCTGCCCCCAAGGATGCGATTCCCACATCCCGATCTATGTGGCCACCATGCGTTGTATCATTCCTTAAATA